CATCCCTGTCCCCATCCTCATCCCTGTCCCCATCTCCAGCCCCATCCCTGCTCCCATCCCCACTCCAAGCCCCTCTTGCCGGCTCCATTCCCAGCCCTGCTGCTGTCACCATCCTCGTCCCCATCCTCATCCTCATCCCTGTCCCCATCTCCAGCCCCATCCCTGCTCCCATCCCCACTCCAAGCCCCTCTTGCCGGCTCCATTCCCAGCCCTGCTGCTGTCACCATCCTCGTCCCCATCCTCATCCTCATCCCTGTCCCCATCTCCATCCCCAGCCCTGCTGCTGTCACCATCTCCCTGTCCCCATCCTCATCCTCGTCCCCATCCTCATCCTCGTCCCCATCTCCGTCCCTATTTCTAGCCCCATCCCTGCTCCTGCCCCACTCCCGGCCGCTCTGTTGTGACCATCCCCATCCTCATCCCTCTCCCTGTCCCCATCCTCATTCTCGTCCCCATCCTCATCCCTGTCCCCATTTCTAGCCCCATCCCTGCTCCTGCCCCACTCCCAGCCGCTCTGTTGTGACCATCCTCATCCCCATCCCCATCCTCATCCTCATCCCTGTCGCCATCCTCATCCTCGTCCCCATTTCTAGCCCCATCCCTGCTCCTGCCCCACTCCCGGCCGCTCTGCTGTGACCATCCTCATCCCCCTCCTCATCCCTCTCCCCGTCCCCGTCCCCGCTGCCGCCCTCAGCCCCGTCCCGCCCCGTCCCCGCTCCCATCCCGCTCCCCGCCGGGGGGCTGAGGCTCGGTGGGCGGCCGGTTGCCGTCCACCCCCCCCCAGGTGCCACCATCGCTCCCAAGGGCGAGGAGGACCTGCTGGCGCTGGCCGCCTCCCGGCTGAGCCGCAGGAAGCGGGTGGCCGGGGCGGCCGTCGGCGTGGCCATGGTGCTGGTGCTGCTGGTGGCCATCCCGCTGCTGGTCCACAGCTCCAAGGCGGCCGCCCACTACGAGATGCTGGGGAGCTGCCGCATGGTCTGCGACCCCTACCCGGGCCCCGAGCTGCCCCCCGCCTCCCCC